TATATATATATATATATATAAATATATTTAAGAACTTATTTATAAGTTAGAATATTTTAAACGCGAGATATAGATTTGTACATTATATTTGTTAAAGATATTTTATTTACTTGGCCATCTACAATGTTGCGGATGGCTCGTTTCATCGTGGTTTTAAGAAAAACACTGTGCAATCACTTCGATTTTTTCTTCAAAGAATGCGCCACATCATATGTAGGAGTAATATTTTATAGTTTTTATTTTATTATGATACTAGATGCAATGTGATTCGTTGAATGATAAAAGATAAAGAAATTTTTCGAGAAATGAGAAATTCCTCACGAATTGTAAATTTCGAATGATATATTTTTAATCGAATTATTTTTGAAAAATAATATATTTTTAAAGAAAATTCCTTCTAGATATTAAGGAAAATATTTTTTTGAATTAAACTTTTTTTCTCGAAACGAAAGATGTTTGTTTCGAAAAAGAAATTCCAACAAAAAAAAAAGAGTTTCCTTTCAAGAAAAAATTTTTTGTGCAAAAATAATTTAAAAAGAATCTGTCTTTTTAAAAGAAAATTATGTAAATAATTAAATAAAAAATTAATTAGCCAACTCTTGAAAAAATATTTAACTATTTTATTTTAGATCTCGCAATTTTACGAATCAGATTGCACTTTATATATTCCATACTCGCATTTTATCGTCGAATTTCGATTTTAGGATATGATATTTTTTCGTGTTCCCATATCTAATAGGTACAAATATCATCGGTAATGTCCACGATCGTGCAAAATTAGGATTAAAGGAGGCATCGACGAATGATTCGCAGAGAATTCTTGTCTCGAACACAAGCTGCCATTCGTTACGAATGACGATCTTCGAAAGTAGATTCTCCATAGATGAACTTTTTAAATATATTAATAATCATATAGAAGAAGAAAATATCCGAACGATACCATTTCATTAATAAAATCAAAATTTTATTAACACATCGAATGCCATGTGAGTTAAAAGTTATATGACAAAATTATACTTTCTATGTTATAATTAACAAAAAATAGAAAATTGTATTATATTATTATTGATCAGAAATAAGAGAAAACTAATTTTGGAATGTGTTTTCGTAAAGAGAATGATTATATTCGAAATGAACGATTAGCTTGAAAAATTCCAAGAAATGATGAAATAGTTTCTGCCTGCTTTAGTTGGCTATTTCAAGCTCCAAGTTGGACGAAGCTTCGGCGTCTGAAATTTCTATTTTTATGCCGGTTTCAGTGGATCGTTTGAACAATAACAAATATATTTTAGGCAGTACACGTTTACAATGTGAAAGATACTTTTTTTTAAAATAAATTGATAATGTATCTTTGGTAAAATTATTGGTTAAAATAGAGAAACAATTAATTTTTTTTTCATAATATTTTCCAAAATATTTTTCATTGAAAATAATAACAGAGCAAAGAAAAATTTTTTACAATCAATTGTCTTGTATTTAAAAAAAAGAAAAGAAACCATTTTGAAAGCAAATAAATTTAACTCTCATGGCACTAATTTGTTAAATAGAGATTCGAACGATCTTTTATAGAATAATTACAGGGACCAATAGGAATTCGATGGCGCATCTCTCATTCCTTCGTCGAACGTTTTCGATCACGATCAAGGTTTCTCGCGCGATTTTGCGATATCGTGTCACGTGAAAAATTGCTTATGGCTTTGATCCAAGCCTCGATTCAATTAGATTTCGCGTGAACTTCAATTAACTTATCTATCCGGTATAAACCGACCAGAGGGAAAACTTTAAATATGATCTCTTTATAGCTTGATGAATTCAAGTAACCTAGTTTACAATATTATGATTGGAAAAAATTGTTCTGTCATTTAAACGCATTGAAAATTGAAATTTGGAAATTTCAAGATTTTCGTATTTCAAAAAAAAAAAAAAAAGGTTTTGGAACAAATTGAACCCTTCCCCCCAAGAAAAAATTTAAAAAAAAAAAAAAAAAGGTTTTGGAACAAATTGAACCCTTCCCCCCAAGAAAAAATTTAAAAAAAAAAAAAAAAAGGTTTTTGTACGAATTTGATACTTTCACACATAGTAAAAATTTAAAAAAAAAAATTTACCAAACTGTCGTGTATGTTTATAATAAATTTATCCAGAAGCATACGTTATTTCTACGTTATTTTTACGTCGTGAATATATCGTATTCATGGTGAAAAAATGGGAAGTGCGTAAAAAAAGAGAACACTGACTCAGTGTCTATCAATTAAACTTAAATCTAAGCATATCCACGAACATGGATATTCTTACCGGCTTAAAGACCGATGTGCTTAACAGTGTTTCTTTAAAGGGGATATTATTCCTCGCGTTTTTAAGTTATGATTGGTTTCCTTGGTTTATTCAATTCCTTCGATGCCTGTATTTAATAAAGGAAATTAATATTTTAAACAAAAAAACAGAACAATTTTTCGAAATTCTTGGAATTTAAAAATCTTTCTTTTTCTGAAAATTTCTCGAAGCATCTCGAATTTTTGAACTCTTGATACTTTCAAATTCAAAAGAAAAAGAAAAAAAATACCATTTCTTTTAAATGTTATTTAGAAAAAGTGTACGCACCCACATTATACGATCATTCGTGGAAATATCAGTAAATTTACGCGAGGAAACCTCACAGATCGTTAGATAAGAACCATGGAGCCTGGCACGTAGGTGATCGTAATTTCGTGTGTACAAAAATGCCAATTGAACGCAGTTTTTATCGAGAATAAAAAAAAAAATATATAAGCGAAAGAGTTAATTTAATATATTCTATGAACGAAGCTTTATATAAATGATCATATATATATATATATGTATATACATATATATAAATATATATCTATACATAAAATATTTCTATATAAACAGATAATATATGTATACACTAAAGAAAATATAGACGCATTTACAAACCTATATACACCGAGAGGTAGGAGATATAATACACAAATAATACACAACACACGCGCGAATTATTTACTAGGTCTCATTTATCGCGAGAAAAAAACCCGATGAATCGTTCGTAAAATTCATTCGTTGCATTCGTATTCTCTGCGATATCGTATGCATTATATTATTTATCCACAGAGTCTATATATATATATACATGTTAGCTATGCGACGACTTATCCTATTATCCCGACGAGTGTCTTTACGCGATTACGATGATGTACAGCGATAGCCACGTGTACGATGTTACACGTGACCTCATTGTGACTAATTTCGAACGTTGTACTACAAGAAATAAACACATGTGACTTAATATTCTTGCTATGTGTTCTCATCCCGCTAATTCTATTATTTAGTGATCGGATTCGAATGGATTCTTGTCGATTGAATCTCGATTACGACGTAACTTCTACTTATGCGAATTCACGTTATAATAAAATTCCATTTAATATGAAACTTTTCTTGTCGATTTATATAATTTTTATCTATTCTAATTTCGTTTATTTTTTCTAGGTCTGATTGAATCGTATCGTACCAAGAAGTCATGGATGAGTAAGAAGAAGTGAATCGCAATTGAAATATTTATTTCCAACAATGTGTTCAAATAATGGAATTCTAAAAAAAAAAAACATATACACACAAATTTTTAAAAGAAGTAAAATATGAAGATTTTGAGTAATTTATTTATTTTTTGAAATAGAAGCGTCTATTATGCAAGCAATTATATATATGATCTTTCTTATTTATATATATATCATTCTTATTGGTACAATCATGATAACTGGAAGAAGTTATATTCAAGGAGACACAATGTAATCTATGTATGAAAACAACGGTATAAACGCAAGCATCGATTTCAAAATCAATTGTTCTCTCAAGGCCAATTCCTCACTTCAAATAACATTATGTCATGCAAGTTAATTCTATCTTTTAGAATTTCATTACATTTCTGTTACTATTATCCTTCTCCGTATGTAGATTCTTAGAATGGATAAAGTAAGTGATAAAATAAAGTGACTTTGACGTCATCCTTTATATCTTATCGAGTATTTCTATAAGATTTCAGTAAATTATTGCTGAATTAATTTAAATACAGATCAATTGGAAACTTAGATTAAAATTAAATTGCATTATTAAAAAATTCTTTTAAAATTATTATTATTTTTTAAAAGAAAAATGAGTGTATTAATATTTAACGTTTTAGTCTGATATAAAAAATAGTTCTTATCAAATTTATTAAATTTAATCAAGTAGATCTTTATAATTGTTAAAGAATTGTTGAAATTTAATAATATCGATAATGCTATTCCTATTTTGTTACAAGTTTTCATCTATATTTCACATTTATTTTTAAAACTTCAAAATTCTACGCCTTCTATGTTTATGTTCAATAAATTCGTTAAATTTTAATAGAAAAGAAAAAAAGCGTAACTAAAATACTAAGAATTGTACGAGGAATCCCATTAGTTCATTGATCAAGATCCACTTCCTCGATCTGATCCTCCTCCACTCTATCCTTAAGGGTTGTCAAACTCAGGGGTTTTTCCATGTCCAAAACCTCCCCTTCCTCCTTACGGCCTTTTCTTTTCGATCTGTACAAAGGATTCTCGAATCTTCCTCCTGAAGATGAATCTTTTTTATCCGTTTCTTTGCTCTCGAGATTTGATTCACGGCCACTAGCGACCTCTGCTATTTGGACGTTACCCTCTGAAATATTTTCAAAACGGGCGAAACCGAATGGTTTGCCAGCCTGTTTCTTGTCCACGTGAACTCCATCCCTTATCGAGGAAAATATTTGTGTGCACCCCATCAGAATTCTGAAAATTATTTAATACGAAATTAATTTTTCTATTTGTTCTTTTTTTTTTCCTTGAATTGTAAAAATTAAAATATTCTACATTCTTTTCTAAATTTTGCTGTTAGGGGTCTATAAAAGAAGATAGAAATATAGTAGAGTAAGAGAATGTTAATACTTTTAATTCTTCAAACTTTGTAATTTTATTTTAGAATTTTTATTATTATTATGATGGTTGTATTAATTATTTTTTAAATTGAAACATCCAGTCTACGTTTTTTCACTTTTTATTATTCACTTTTTCCATTTAGAACTTTGTTGTGCAGTGACATTCATTATAATTCTATTTTACAGTTTATATTTTGTTAAAATTATATTATATGCGTTCTCTTTATTGTCGATATGGAGCAAAATGAAAGAAGAAGTTAGAAGATTAATGAATTTTATTTTTTTAAAAACAAGATTTTCAAGGAATAGTTCAAGAATTCGATTATGCAGTTTAAACGGTTCTTTTTTAGAAATTTACATTTTTCCCTTGATATTTTTCCCTGAATATTTTTCATCAAAGTTCTTTAACTCTTAAAAATCATCTCAAAAAAGAAATTGCGTTAATATATATTATCGAGCATGAAACTTCATCTCGACATATTTTGACAAAATATTTTTTTATTTAAAAAAATTATTTTTTCAATGATTACGAACAATATTCCATACATTCTATAATGAATAGAATTTTTATCCATAGTTTCAAATATTTATATATATAATAGAATTTAAAAAAATTGCAAATATTATTTTCTTCTTCTTTCCTTTCTTTTCTCGTAATCTGAAATTTTATCTCATAAATCATTCGATTAAAATATATATATGTATATTTTCTTTATATCTTCATTACGTATTTCAGTTTCCAGTTGATTTGTTAGATAACAAAGTTTAGAAATTGCAGGTGTTTCAATATGCAATTCGGTTTATCATACACAAACGTGTGATATCATATGGAATCGAAGCAATCTCTGCTGTTTCCCTGATAGTTTCGTCTCTTCAAATCACACGAATTAATAAAAATTTCCCCGTCTCAAATAGAATTCGTTACAACGAATTGTTACAACAATTAACCAAAATAACATCAATCTTTTCAAACTTGAGATGTAATTCTTGAAAGTATTTTCCACAATTTCCTTTAAATTCATTTCAAAAGATTCATTTTAACAAGGAAAACAAATATTCACATTTACTCCTCTTTTTTATACAACTTACAAATAATCAAACTTGCAAAAAGAAATAAAAGCAAAATTTATATTCACAAATATGATATTTTGAGGTCTCGATAAAACGGAGATCTAAAAGTGCAATAAAAAAAATATATACCAATAAATCCTCACTGTAATTCACCAGTGAAATATCGTCCAATATCGTGACAATTAAAAATTTATCCAACGACTTCTTTTTTTTCTTTTCTTTTCTTTTTTTTTTTAGAGTAAACGTATCTCGTTTCGACTCTCGTCTAGAAAACATCCTGAGGGGAAGTTAATTTTGCAGACATCCGGTTCATAGGAGTCGCAAGTGCAGCAAGCAGTTTCCCTCATGTTTCATATTCCGCGTAATTACTTTTTCCATCGCATTTTTCTTCCATTCTTCTTCCCTTTCCTTCCCACAATCCTTCTTTTCCACGTTTTCGTTGTTTCCGCCACTCGACACTATTCGCCATCGACACCCACATGTCGGATATATAAGGGTCAAATGGGAGGAGCTTGATATGGAAAAGCTTCATAGCAATTTTTTGCAATGAACTCCTCGTTGAAATACTCATTTCCCGTTCTCCACCCCGCGAAAACGTGCATCGTTCAGCTATTTTTGACGAGTTATTAATTTTGCTCTCTTTCTCTCTCTCTCTCTCTCCTTCCCTCTCCCCCCTTTAATCACGATTTCTTTTAATTTCTTTTTTTTGGCCTTTTCCTTTTCTATTCTCTCTCTTTTTGTTTTGTTTATGCTAGTAATACGTATATTAAATCATTTTTCGAAGTGCAAATTTTATTGAGAATTTTGAAAATTTGAAAAATCAATAAAGGAATTTAAAAATGTTGTGATGTTCATAAACATTTTAATTGAATTGCACTGTTACATTGTACTGTTTCGTTTAAAAAAAAAGGTAAAACTGTTCTTGATTCATATTGATCATAAATTTAAACAAATAAAAACAAAAATAAAAAGGACATCTCTCTTATGCAGAGAGAATAATCTTTCCATTATTTTTCTTTACGATCCCATTGTATCCCATAAATTGTTTAAATTACTATCATCTTAAATCAGCATTATTAAAATTGTTCATCAATCCTCATAAATGAGATATAAAGAAAGGAAATGGTTGTTCAAATAAATATCACGATTTTGTTATACGTATACATATGAAATATACACCATATATATACGTTAAGTTTCTTTTCAAGAGATATCAGAAAACTCGTGATACGATAATCAATTTATTACTTACTGTCTGTAGGAATAGCCAAAGTATAAGAAGACGATGAATAAAAGCGCAAGAAGGATCAATGGTGTAACGAACAACGAAGCCAGTGCGACAGTTACGCCATTATTTCGCAAAGCGGCACCGGTTACTTCCGCAGCAAAAACCTCAATTTTCATATCTGTCAAGGAAAACGAGAACAAATCAGAAAAAAAAATATAAAAAGTAATTCAAAAAATGGAAAAAAAAGAAAATGGACGACGATTATAATATAAGTTACGGAATTTACTCGAAAGGGTTCTCTTCACATCTTCCAACCCCTCGAGAATATCGATTTCCGAGTAATCGCCCTTTTTCTTTATCAGAACCTCGACACCTCCGTTCCAAGTACGTCTCACGTGCCAAACAAGCTTCTCCGCGCGCCTTTCCAGAGCTTCGTCTGCGGCAGCCTGGACCAACGATAAAGACGTCTTGTCCGTTAAAGACAAACGACCACCGCAATATCTGCAGCAATGCCCTTCCACCTGAATTTCAAAATATCTCACTTAAGATTTGAGATCAAGGATTGATAATTCTTCTGGTAAGATATATATCGATAATGTTAATTAATTTTTCACTCACCCACAATGGATACTCGCAGGTGGGGTATCCACACTTTGGTCTTTGAATGGCGCAAATTTCTTCGAGGTAGTAACCGTTCGGATCGTCCTGGCAGGAACACTTTCCGCAATTGTATTCCGCGTATCTGTGAGATTTTGAATTATTCTTTAATCGAAGATTGCATTTATGAAAATCTAGAATTAAGTGAGAAGGAATATTGGGAGCGTAGAAGAATTAATAATCGAAGATTGGAAAGTTGGAGTTAAATTTGAAATAGGAATATTGGTAAGAAGAAAAAATTTAAAAAATTTAAATTATACGTACCTCACGGTGGATATACCCTTCTCGAACTCCCTTCCAGTCTCCAAATCTGCCCATTGCCAGCCGCTGTATGGATACTTTTCATCGATCGTTCGAACCGATTTCACTTCGATGCTCTTCATCGGCAAAAGAACACTGAAGATTCGCGTTTTCTCCGGCAGAACTACGGTGTCCTGGCGGCACGGCACCTGCTCGAGGTGAGGCGCTGCTTCCGAGCTCCCGTTCCAATTTTCTGGATCAGCCCAAAACAAGTGACCAGATCTTGACCACTGACTGATTTTCTTCGGCGATTTTCCCGGCTCGGTTAACTTTTGTAATCGGATTAATCATTAGGGATGATCAATATCATTAATGAACGAATAAATCGGGTAAGATTTTTTAAGTAATTTTCATTGAATTTATTTGCTATTTTATTTCTATTATTCGAAGCTTTCAATAACAGAACGATAATTCCTTGGTTCAATTTTGTAGATTATTAAGCGTGAAATGAGAAAAAGATCAGGCCAGAAATTATCTGATTATTTTTACATTCAATTATATACTCTCAAGTAAAAAGATACTTTATAGACGTGATAACGTGATGAAATATTTTATTCAAGCGAGATAATTCTTAATTAATTTAATTTCATTAAAATTTATATTTGTTAAATTGTAGTAATTCGCATAACTTTTCTTAATTTATAGATGTTAATAATTTAGTAAATGTCACATTCAACTAGTAGGTACCATTGCATATCTATATAACATCTCGGTGACCTATTTAAATGACAATTTAATTTAGAGATTTGAAGATTATATTTGATAAATATAAATTTCGTTTTCAATATACCATTAGTTTAATTTATCATTGTCCTAATTGTATTAATCCAGAATGACCTATATATCGATGTTAATAATTAATCTGTTTCCATGTATTTAATGAATGAAAATTTACACTTTATCTCTATACCTGTAATCTTCCGTTTCTAGGTAGGACCAACGATCCAGTTCTGGCCAGATCAATTCCAGAAAGTCTCAGATTCTCGGATTTCCCAATTCCCACAGCGTGTCTCATGTCCAAAGGAAACGTCACATAACTATCTAATTCCGGTATACGTCCTCCAATCCAATTTTCAGCCGTCTCCCATTCCAAATTTGGGAGCCAATATTTCTCCACGCCAATCGACGATTTTAACATTAACACGAAAAATATCCATATTGTTCGAATTTCTCTGGGGACTCTCACCTTCATATCGAACAAATTCCTTTTTTAAACTTCTTTCTTAATCAATTAATTAAATTATTAATTATATATCGAAGAAGTGATAATTTCAGTTCATTTTTTTTAATTATTTGAAGATTTTAGATTTTACGAATTAGAGGAAATATTAGTGTAATAATAATGGGGGAAAATAATCGATATAAAAGAAATAGTGGATATGTGAAAAGGAACAAGGTAAAAATTTTTGACACAGATATCAAACTAAGCTTGAAACGACTAGGAACGAACGATTGTCGGGCTAAACTATCAGAAACTGAAGCGGGTAATTGGAATCGAAGGGGCGTTCCAGATTTACGATATACTGCTACAGACTTGTTTTATTATCTCTATTATTTAGCTTTCGACGAATTTACTAAAATAACCACTGGTGGAAAATCATTTTTTAAAAAATATATTCACACAAATATTTTCATACGTATCCAATTTGAATTGGAATACTTTTAATCTAAAGAATTAATACAATGTTAATAAAAAATTTTAAATATTGAAATTAAAATGACGTATTATTGCAATATTTCGTTTGCAATTTTTTTTTCATGGAAAATTCTAAGGATAAATAATTTTTTTTTCATCTATATAAGGTATTATTCAAGGAATTATTAAGCTCCATTTTTTCCATCTCTTTTTCCCTTTCCTTTTTTTTTTTTTTGAAGAACATTTATTCGTGAAATATTTGAACAAAAATTTAAACAAAGTTGACTTAAAATTAACATTATAAAAATAATATGATAATTTGTGGTGTTTCTTTTATTTGGGTAATAATCAAGTGTTACGTTTAACATTTACATGAGTTTTGGAAATATATTTTTGAATTATTAATTTAGCCATGTTTTAATATATAAGCAATAATAATTTCGAATTCACAATTGGATAAAGCACAGAGCTGGGTTAATTAGGCTGAAATTAGGAAAAATTTCAATTTTTTGTTACACAATGATTCTTCGTCTCAAATAAAATTCCAAATTTCGATCCGCTAGAAATTTTCAAGAGATGTTAAAACATTGTTAATAACAAAATATTATATTTTCAAACGATGTATGATTTCGTGAATAAATAAAGAATGTAAATAGCAGGTTTATAAATGCTTTATTGAAAATTTGTGACAAAAACATGTGATTTGTTATTCGAAATCATGGAAGAAAAATAATGGAATTCATTTTTTATAAATTTCTGTCAACACCAGAACTACCTAGAATGCGTAATATTTAAATATATCGATGATTATAATAATATATATTAATACATCTTTTCTACATAGATCTTGCTTATGCTCTTTCTGGCCAAAATTGGCCATTTGTGCCATTTTGTCACTATATCCCTGATACAATCGTGTTTCTATTCTAAAAAGCTAATTAAATATTCATCATTCAGTAACATCAGAATATTATTAGAATATTGCCAAAAATATATAGTGTGGCAAAATATGAGAAACTTGATTACGGTAGTTCTAATGTTAAAATCTGTGTAACGTCGTATCAGCGATGAAATGACTTATTACATATTATTATTATTATTATTATTATTATTATTATTATTATTATTATCAATTTAATGAACAAATTTATCTATACAATAGGAACTTTAATAAATCATTTTCAAATTAATATTGTAAACATTTTGTTTCAGAGGTTTCACAAAAAATTCGGCCGTTTCATTTTTAATATTCTTTTCCACAATCTCTCGTTAATCGTGAATCCAAGCCAATCATACGATCATCCTCCAATGCCTCGAATCGCTGCATTTTATCATAGAAATCAAAATCGATCAAGATAATCCATCACCCAGCTCTGCTATTCATTCATATTATTCATTTTTACAACATTTTCACAAGAACCAAAGCGAATCGTCGTGGAATAAAGCCACGAAGTCAAACTTTTTCTTCAATGAAAATTGAAGAAAAATAAGGAAATACAAAGTATCTGTTGCTTGACCGAGCAAAAGTAAAGTCCATGGAATGATTTTATTAGCACTTGAAAGGAATGAAAAGTTACAAGAAAGTTGTTCAACATTGACAATAATTTTATTGAAAAATTCATTTTCAATGACACAAATGGCAATAGCTTCTTCGATTTTCTTCGAGTTACATTCTTCTTCTATCTTTCTAAGAAGCATATTGTCTTGGGATGATTAAAAAAGAACACTTTTTTTTGAAGAATAACATTGGAAAAATAAATTTATATAAATTATATCTTATTATTATTGAATTGTCCCCAAGTCGATTAATCAGATCAAAGAAAATTAATAAATTTTAAAAGACAAATAAAATACTACAAATGCACAAGCATCTACAATTTATTTACAAGATCATTTGTGAAGATAAGCTAATTGTAAGATTGTATTGTCAATTGTAAGATTTTTATACAACAATTGCATTCATTTACCAGCGAGAATCGAAGGTAAATGTGAGTAATATTCAACATTGATATAAATGTGCAATTTCAAAAAATATGATGCATCTGTGTCTTTTCCCTATTTTAATTCGTATTCATTGTTATGTTCCTTTCTTAACCAATTTCCAATATGCATGTATGCATAAATAAAGATCAAAAAAACTTCAATTATACAACGATCTTCAAAAGTTTATCAAAAGAAATTCCTTGCTCTCAAGATGCACTGAAAACCATCAAGTACAATCAAGAAGGAATAATAAGCAGCTGGAATAAAAATATATTTGATTCAAGAGCAGCAAAAATTATTGTCTCGACGAGAGCAGAGACCTCTTTACCCGGTCAAGCCAATAAATAGCGAAAAGAACTCGTGTTAAAAGAGAAACGTTGAAACTTCAAAATGTGTCTTTATTGTTGCGTAATCGATATACTTCGTCTGATAATAAAACTCAGCGACATCGAATTGGAGCTACATTGCCGTTTACGTCGGCGACACACCATCGTGACGAGTCGTCGACCGATATTCCCTCGAGGAAGATCTACTGCGACGAGTCCTCCTCGTCCTCAGACATCCTCTTCCCAAGCCCGAAATGATATCTCTGACTGAGCATGTCGGTCGGTCTCTTCGAGCCTAACGGTTGTCCACCACTGTAATGCACCGCCCTCTTCCCTAATCCGAAGCTGTAAGGCTGCCTTCCCCGTTTTTCCTCGAGAAAGTCGTCCGTGTTCTCTTGGGAATGGAACGCGGGATTGTCGACTGGAAGGTAATCCAGGTTCAGTCTGAGTGGATAGTCCGTGTTGTCGTTTCGTTTTCCCAGGCCGAAACTGTACTGTCTCCGTTTCCCAAGGCCGAAGGAGTAGTCGCGCCCTCTCTGGAATAATAAATGTTTCGAGAATGGGTAAGATCGATTCTTACGTTTCGGTAAGAAAATGCGATGGAAAATTTAAATCGAAGAAAACTCGTGAGAAGAAGATCATGATATATATACAGAAGATTACAAAGGTTTGGAATCGATAGAGAATTTGACTTTTAAATCAGTTTTCAGAATCTTTGATACGCCATTAAGATCGTTATAGGCAATATTTTTCCAGGAATAAATATATCTGTTACACAACTCGGCTTAAAACTCGGATTAAATCCTATTAAAATTAAGAAAACTTTAAATCGCTATAACTCGGAAGATAATGGCTTTAGAGCGATGGGTGAAAGATCGTTAGAAGCGCGGATCCTTCCCCTTTAAAACGCTTTTTGATTTATCTCGATACGACTTCCGGTTCCCGAGATATCGTCGTGTAAAGGAAAGAGTAATTTTCGATCGTTTATTATTCTCGTCTTTGTTGTTTACTCGGACCTCTCGCTCGTCCCTCGTTTCACTAACCTAGCCCAAACTCCAGACAAGTGTCAGACGCGATTCCTGGAAAAAAAGCGTAGTGCGCATTTCTAGGAAAAATATGTAGGTCACTAGGTCGCGGATCCATTTATATTTTTTACCTTATAGCGTCAACCAGTATAGGAACTTTGAATCCTTGTATCTCGAGAACGGATTGAGATATCGGGATAAATAAAAAAGGAAATTCAATGGGGTGATTGTCTCTATTTTCTGAATGTGTTTCGATGACAAAATTCTTGATTCTTTCTCACGATTTTTTACATGAAAATTCGAAATTTTATGATTTAAAGTATATATATAGAAATTTAAATTTAATTTGATGTTTTTATATTCGTATAGCACAAAAAATATACATATAAATATTATTTTAACAGAGAAATGAAAATATTGAAAATTAGAGTAAACTATTGATCGTATGTTTTCAGGTTTGAGGATCGTTATGCTTACTATTGCTCCACAATGGATATGGAGATTTTAATAATTGTGATATTCTCACCTTGTTATCATTGGTATCGATCCAACGCTTTCCAATACCAAAGTTGTAGACGGGTAGCCTCTTATACTCGGAAACGTAAGTGTACGCTCTTTTTTCAGGCACGGTATCGTCGAACGCCATAGGATTCAACATATTGTTATAATGTTGAAGATTCATAGACGAGGCTGGTGTTTCTTCCATGGCTAAGGCTGACCTTCCCACGATCCCAACGAAATAGAGGAAAGCCAAGCTCGATGTCAGAACGCTTATCCTGGTCCTCATTCTGTACCTTGCCTCTTTTTAAGCCTGATTTCAAGAAAGAAAAATTCGCAATTGAAATCGATCGTTTCGAAACGATAGTTTAAAATTAAATTCTCAGAGTTGGTGCGTGGATAATTTTATTCGCGCAGGGAGAAACATTTTGATTTCAAAGCAAATCTGTTTCCAGATTTCGAATTGAGTTGGAAAATGTCGCGATGAATAGCGAGTGACACGGATTCTCGAAAATTGCTTTTCCACGTATCTAATTTATCAAGGATTTGTGGTTTCCCTAGTTCGAATCGAGTTTTACACTTCTGCGAATATTATGCTATTTCGTTCGAAAATTTTTGATTATTAAATTACTAATCCCATTAATTTTGTTATCATATCCTACATCTCATATTAAAATCGTCAAAAACTTTAATGAAAAAATATATATACAAGAATATTTTATCTTTTCAATATTAACATATTAATTAATGATAGACAAATTGTTTATTTAAATTTATCATTGTTATTTCTGATTCTTTTTATTTAATCCTTTACTTTTATGATGATTTTATTTAAAAAAAAAATTCTTAAATGATTGCTTGCGATCTAAATAAGGGAAAGGAAGAAACAAGAATATTTGTAAAATTTATAACCAGAAATTCTTTCTTTTTTTTCCACGAAATGTTCGATCATCATATTTTCTATCCAAGATTTTTGATTCTCAGAATTTCGGTTCACGGTTTATCGTTGGATACCGAGATTGTTGGCTCGTGAAAATTTCAGTGGCGACGTTTACCGTTTCATTTCTGCGAGAAATTAAATCGGCCTCGATTTAAAGTGGCAATTCCGCGTGAGGAACGAGGGCAACACGAGGGGAAATGGAATATACGCTTTCCAGAGCTCATCTCGTTTAATCTGCAGGATTTACAATCGTTTCGTGGTTGTTGAAAGAATACTTGGATACGCCGGACATCCAAATGAATCGTGAAGAATTAACCACGCTTTCCAATTTGCAATTTTGATCTTTTTTCGAAGGATAGAGGATAAAAAGAAGAGAAAATAGGGAAACACGAATAATTTTCTGATGCAATTTAGAATTGAACGAAGATTGGAAGATTTATAAAGATTTGATTAAAATCTAATGAATGAATTCTATTTATAAAGAGATTTAAATTAAATGAAATTAATGAAAAATGATGTGATATCTATGAAAAATAATTATTCTATTGTACAAGATCAATATATTTATAATTTTAGAGTATACATTTGTGAAACTATAAGGATTAATAAAAATTAGAATATAAAGAGCAGTGGCTGAAGAGAGAAATAAAATATTGTTTAAAAATTAAATAAAATAACTTTCCAAATTACTTATTCAAATTGCAATTCAATATTTATTAATAATAAAAGATTTGAATTAATCTTATTACAATTTAAAAAAACTCAATAACCAAATTTCTGAAATGGAAAATCTTACGATCAATAACAACCTCAATAATCGACATCAAGAAATTTTCGTGGAAACGAAACCTCCACAAAATCTTGAAGAAAATTTTACGAATAAAATCCCCGGAAAAACTTCCAAATTAAGAAACTTCCCAACGTATCAATCATCATAATTCAATAAATTCAATTCTCTTGAAATTGAATCCTGCTAATATAGCCAAGAGACCTTCGAACTTATCTTTGCACTCTCCTCGCAACAGGTGTTTCGACGCTCGCCATCCATTCGACTTAATTTTTAATTTACACCTGTATTTTTATTGCGACATCTTGTTCGCAGGAAGTTCGTTCCTTCGCGTTAATTTGCCCGAGCAAATTTAACTTTGCGATCTCCTCGGGCTGAAGACGCGAAGAAAAGAAGAAGGAAGAGGAAAGGAAGAGAAGGGGGAGAAAAAAGGAAAGGAGGAGGAGAAGGAGGAAATTTTTCAAATAAAATTACGAATTTCTTCGAATAATGTCTCTCTTTCGTCCATTAAAGTTTTTCTATAACTCTTGGATGAGAAGCAGGCTAAGAATTTGGGGTCATTGGACCGAGAGGATGTCGAAGAAGTGGAAAGAGATAGGACGAGTTATCCGGTCAGATTTGGTCGATCACGTGTCTTGTTATCGTGGCGTATTATCGATTTAGTATTTAGCTAGCATCAACACCACGTGTACATTGCGTGACTGGCTTGTTTTATTTTTTGAGAATATTTCTTTTTTTTTTTTTTTTGCAATTTATGGGCGAAATGGAATTTGCAAGTGAACTTAACATTAATTAAAAAATAATTGCATTGACTTTGTTTCGCGTGTTTAATGCGATAAATGTTCTTTTTTTTTTTTACGGAATTTTTAATTTAAAAATTTTAAAAATTAAATATCCAAAGAAGGAAAAATTTTGCTATTCTCGAAAAATTAAAGGTATAAATGTCACTTTAAATCATTTAAAAAAAAAAATCATTCACTTTCTTCCTTAATTAAATTAAGAAATAGATATTACCTGAAACATTTTCTTTAACAAAATCGTTATTATTGTCGATTTAAAATATTTCCTGCAATTTATTCTAAATGAGTCGTATAAGCTTGTTTCATTTCCACATATCGTCACAGATTAAGTTCGCACCGATAACGAAGTAGATGATTATCAATATATGTATAGATGTATGCAAACAAATACGCATCACTGGATCAATAACGAAGAAGTACGAGATACGTCTAATTCGGTGACGGTGAAGGTTAATTCAATTATTGTTTGAAAAACGTTTTAAGTGAACGACAGCTGATGAAAATTCCATTGAAAAGCTTTGATTAATTGCGGATATTCGATGATGCAAAATTGTGATTTCAGCTACGTTTTTTATTTTTTTATTTTTATTTTTTATAATTTTCATCATTTTTTATTGATTTTTTTTTAAATTTTCAGTGACTTAATTTTAATTCGAATTCGAAGATTTATGGATTTATTATTTTTTTGAAAATAATTTTCTTGTATAGTGATTTTTATTTATTTAGTTTTTTTATTTATTTATTCAGTTTTCTTTATTTTATTTATTCAGTTTTTTTTTTTAATAGTGGTACAATTATTTCCCAACTCTTTCTTGAGTTATTCTTGACTATATAACTATTTTATCAAAAATGTTTCTTCAAATAACAATTTTCTTTTCACTCTCTTTAATCTTCTTTTCTAAGATTTATATATATATATTTTTTTTTCTAAAGAAAATCTCATATTCAAACGAATTTTTCTTCTCGTTATTGCAATAGAATTATTCAAATTAACTTTTCTAAAATTATTAAATGCAAATTTACTCCTAGCTTCTTTCTTTCTTATCCAAAAATATTCTCATTCTATTTTTTAAAATATTTTCTCTTATCTTATTATCTTTATTCACATAAATCTATTTCGTAAGTGTAAGTCTTCTAATTCTTTTTAAACAAATTTTAAAGGAAAAAAATCCATCTCTTCGTTCATCAATAATAATAAATAATGATCAAATAATAATGATAAAATTTCAACAATAATAACACAATTTTACTTCTTCCACAAATAAGAATATGACGTATTGAGATCATCATTCTCTGTGTGTCGATGATCTGTCGGAACAAAATTGAAGCACATTCGAATATTAATCAAATATTATGAAAAATGGAGTGGCCATAGATTGCGACAGGAAGTCATCCGCTATGATACGCTCTGCGACCGGAAATGGGATTAGAAGTGCATGCCTGATGGGCAAACCCATCCACGATTCGTTAATGAAATTTTAAGCTGTCTTTCGTTCAGAACCCTTGTTGATCGACTCCCACACACGTTTTCCCTTCTTAGTTTTGCCCTCCTCTTCCGGTTTAATGAGATTGGACGTTGATGAAATGGACGAGTCATCCCTGGGGTATCCTTTGCAAGATTAGGCACAATCGTTTAGATCGAAACTGTTTTTTTTTTCCAGAATATTTTTGAAAATTTACATCTCTTTCTTCACTCGTTACATCTATACATTCATAAAATTAAATCTCCTGTTTCGTTAATCACTTTTTTTGTAAAGATTAAATGAATTTTTCAATTTATTTTACAATTTATTTTAGCAATTGTGTATCCTTCACGAGAGAGGAATTTTAAAATATTAAAATTTGAAGAAAATTTAAGATTCGATGCCTTGCAGAATATCATATTGTACATTTGTTTTCTTGCCATTTTCTTTTAGAAGTGCAAAGGATCGAAGGAAAGGCGAGAATTTGGAAGAGATTCGAACGAGTTGTATAGCCACGATTACCATCAATCTCATCGACAGGTCATCGAACGTACACCAACTTATACAGGAAACGAGATTAACGTCACCTTTCCATATTTCTCCTCGGGGATGGAAAAACATCTCGTACAGCGTGAAATTAAATCTCGTCCGAGAGAATCTCATATCTTCTCGTGACTACTTTTCCAACATTATACCAATTTCCGGTACGGCAAATACTTTCATTAGAAATCTTAACTGTAAAATTAAGATTTCGCATAACGATTCGTTTGAAAAATTTTTGAAAAATTTTATTTTTCCTAATTTAAAATTATTTGAAATTAGTTTATTTAGTTTTTTGTTTAAAAAAAGAATTAAGATTATTCATTGTTGAAATTGTTACATTATTGTTATCTTTAGTAATTTTAGAAAATTGTGTGCTTCAATTGGTAGTGAAAGGATCAAATGAATATTCAAAGTTCGAAAGGGGCTGATGAATCATACGTGATGAATCAAAGAACATTCAATACAAAAATTCATACAACAAAAAAATAGAAATAGAAAATTCGTCTATTTTTTTTCTTATATCGTACAAACTTGTGCATTGTCATTCTATATATTTTTTTGAAGATCGAAATTTAACCTCATTTCATACCATTTCAACAAGAGAAGATTCTTTATAAAAGAAAATGTAGAATAAAGAAATATTTTTTTTTTTAGACCAAATCTTGTGTATAAAAAATCTTAATCAAAGGAAATTGCTACTTTAAATATTGCGATACCATTAACTTCCACGAGATAAGATATTTGATATTTAAACAGGCAAGAAAAAAGGAAGGAAAAAAGAAAGTTGTGA